GAGTTGTAGTTCAGCCAAACTGAAGACTATAGCATAGGACACAGCCCCTCAGATATCTCTGAGGAACTGCTCTGGAGAAGCATGGTTTTCAGCACAGTTTTATATCTTGTCAGAACAAAGAACATCAAAAAAGTCAGGGATACATTCCTTCAAGGTTTAAAAAAAAAAATAACTACAGATCAGCACATACACAGCAAGCAGTATGGCCTTGACACCTGGGAAGGGAGTCTTATCATCAAAGGAGTACCAGCATTGGTGTCCCAGGAAGGGAGGCGTTTACTTTTTATTTTTAACATGGACATTTTTTACTTCTGGTCAATACAACCTTTTCTTTGATGACTAAAACAGATGTATAATATGTGTTCGATAGGCCACAAACAGGCTGTTTTCGTTAGCATAAAATTCAAGTTCAATCATCTACAAGCCAGAATGATTTCCCCATACCACAATATGTGAAAATTTCTTCCATTAGAATATTGAAAGGAGGGACTTCCCTGATGGTCCAGTGGTTAAGAATCTGCCTTCCACTGCAGGGGATGCAGGTTCGATCCCTGGTTGGGGATCTAAGATCCCACACGCGCTGGGCAACTAAGCCTGCACGCCACAACTAGAGAGAAGCCCACACGCCGCAACGAAGATCCCGTGCGCCGCAACTAAGACCCAATGCAACCAAATAAATAAATAAATAAATACTTAAAATATATATATTGAAAGGAATTGCAAGCAGAGGTAAAACTGATTTTTTTCCACAAGGAAAGGAGGGAAAACAATCAAGCCTCTGTCAGACAAGTCAGAAATTACTTGTCCACAAATGACTTAAAATTTACAGAATTGTGAAATAATTCCCGTGAAATCAATTTGAATCAGCTAATTAAAGGAAGGGTGTGCAACACATACATTTTTCTCTACAGATGGCAGTCTTAAAAACATGGGTGGGATTACGGAATTTTTTTTTTTAGTTTATTTAATGTAATTTTTAAAAACAAATATATCCCTCCCCAATTTTTTTTTAACAACTTTATTGCCAAATTTTTAACAGGACATTCCAAAGCACCTTTAAATATTAACACCCCCTGAAGTGCTTAGTAGGTGATTTGATTTGCCAGAACATTTTAGAAACGCATGGTTAATTTGAGGCATACCTGGTTCCTGTTTGTGTCTCTCTTTTTTTTTAAATTTTATTTATTTATCTGTTTGCGCCAGGTCTTAGTTGCGGCATGTGGGCTCCTTAGCTGTGGCATGCAAACTCTTAGTTGCAGCATACATGTGGGATCTAGTTCCCTGACCAGGGATCAAACCCAGGCTGCACCACCAGGGAAGTCCCTGGTTCCTCTTTCTCCTGAAGTTTATAAAATACCATACTTGACCTAATTAATAGTCTTCTTCTTCCCATTGATTACTCATTCCTTCTCTTTCTCAAACCTGGGCAAACAAGCTATCTCTGCTTTGTAAGTCATCAAATTGCAGAGTCTCTAAATGGTTACAGAGACAGCAAGCTTCAGGGATAAAAATTCCTCTCACCTTCCTTTTCCATGGAGTCGAGAGTCCAAAGGCCAGAGGAGCCATTGCTACTGTACAGGACTGGGCAGGGCTGGAGCTGAGGGCAAAGGTGAAAGTAGCAGCAGCTACTTGGGCACCTTCTCCAAGGTTGCCCTTGCTTCTCCTTCCCAAAGTCCACACCCCTGCCACCCAGATGCTGCAGATCTGCACTAGCCAGGACAATGATCACGTAGACCTAGTTAAATTTACATTTAAAAAAATCCAGTTTCCAGTTGTAATAGCCACATTTCAAGTGTTCAATACCCACACGTGGCAAGTGGCTACTGGATCAGATAGCGCAAGTAGCGAACATTTCCATCATCGCAGAGAATTCTACAGGACTGCACCACTGAAGATGACCACTCCTTTCCTCCATCTCAAATTTCTCTCCCATCACTTTTTCTGCCTGCCACGTTTGTTATTCAAATAAATCAAGTGTCTGACAAAGACTCTCTCTTTGACCAAACTCCAGTTAGGTGCCTCTGAGCACTTTTCTCAACTAGGTCTCAACCTTTGGCTTCTGTGTCTAATCCTTGCCAAGTCCAGTTTTAGCAAAAATCCTAAGTCAATTTAAAGGGAATCCTCCACCCCTGATATCTGATCCATCCCTAGCTTGCCCTCAGCAAAAATCCTATTTAGTCAGTTTAGCAAGAATCCCTACTACCCTTGGTGTGTCCTCTTGGTAATTTTTCATCTACTGACCCCCTCACTCTGCTTAATGGCTATAAATTCCTACTTGTCCTTATTGTATTTGGAGCTGAGCACAATCTCTCTCCCCTGTTTTAATGTTCCTATTGCAACAGTTCTGAATAAAGTCTTCCTTACCATTTAACAGGCTTCAGAATAATTTTTTCTTTAACACCTCTTCTATGAAACCTTCCTTCTTGCCCCTAGGAAAAATTAATTCTCTTCTATCTTAGCACCACGTCAATTCCTCTTCTAAAGCCAACATCGTGGTATTAAACTCAATTATTTGTTTTTCTTCCCTTATGGATTACTGAACTCTCATGAAAAGTATAGTGAGTACAGTGATTAAGAGTACACTTGAGTCAGAATGCTGGGTTCAAAGCCTTCTAATGGCACTTACTAGCTGTGTGAGCTTGGGCAAGTAACTTTATTTCTCTAAGCCTCAATTTTATCATCTGTAATATGGGGATAATAAAAGTGCTTCTCTTACAAGAATTAGATGAGATAACCCACTGTGTCAGGCACAGAGTAATTACCCCAATCCCCAGTCTTTGTTCGACTCCATACCTGGAAGTTGAAGATAAAAGTGGAAGATTTTCTCTGTAGGTCTGAATGTAAATTCCCATTTCCTCAATATTCAGTTATAAAGGGTTGTACTTGCAGGCTTCCCTTGACACTTCTATTGGAAATAAGTAAATCAGACTAATTAACCTTTTTTAAAAATTATTCTGTGCTGTCAAATTTAGCTCTCCAAGCTATCAACAAAACAACCTATTGATAAGACAAAAGTGAGTTTATTCTTACTGCAGTAAGGAAGACTAGTATCTTGACAGAGTTGTAATAGTGGCCGACAGGTGGCAGGACAAAGTAGTAGTGTTTATTGAGAATTTGAAGATTGGTTGTAGGCAGGGCGGGGGGGG